AAAAAAAAAAAATCAATATGCCTAAAGCGCTTGAGCTCAGTGAAAGACGTAATACAACTATTTTTAAAAAATATTATTGGAATTCGTATACCTCTTTTTTATAAATATAATCACTAATTTTTTGAATCACGAATCTCAACACAATTTCAAGTGAATTTGTGGTATTTTACAAATTTTGTAAAATTAAGTTTTGTTAAAAAATCTCAAATATTAATCATAAAGTATTAGTACAAGTAATATATGCTTTCAATGTTGAAAACTTATAGTATTGTTATATATTATGTATGTGTCACACATTCTAAGAAAACAAATTGGCCCAGTATGACTGACCACATGCAAGTCGTTAACCTGAAAAATTACTCGTTTTAGCCATTAATTTAACCTTCATGATGTTCACAACATGCTTCGAATAATCAATGCGGTTTTTGTATATTATATATGTATTGTGCTTCTAGAAGTTGAATATGAAACTCGCGCCTTTGTTATTTAGGGAATTTTAAATGCAGTCTGAATATCGCCAACTGGTTGCCTGTCAAAAAATAAATGAAAACAATAGTCTTCGCATGCAGGTAAAAGCAATAAATAGCATTTTGTCTTTGTATGCATATGTACAATGAATATGTTCAATGAATATCAAAACTAATAAAATTTTCAATAGTCTAATACAAAACTCCAGTAGTCAATATTTATGCAGATATATGTGCATTGGTAATTTCATGTAATAAGCACTATTCAATACAATAAAACAACTAATATGCACCTTGCACTAACCGCAAATGTACCAGTGTTTTATTTTATTTGTTTAAAAGTGGTAGTTGTAATGCAAATAGCAATGGCAAGAAGCAGCAGATACAACAAGATTAATAGCGACTGATAGTTATGGCATTTTCCGAGTAGCAGCACATTGCTTATTAAAAATTCCATCAATTAATGTGGAATTTTTTATCACTCACGCAAATTAGATACCTACAATTTTACTAATTAAATAAAAAATATTGCTACCTTCGCAGTCAACGGGATATATACCGTAGGCTTTTCGGAAAAAAAACGATAAGCCCCTGATTGTAAGGTGAGAAGGAGAAGCTAGTCCTAACGCTGAAGTATTGCAGGCACTTATTGTCTCTTGATAAGCCTCGACCACTATTTAAGTAAAGGTTTTTTCATACATACATATGTATTTGAATCACATTTGTAAATATATCGATCATATCAATAAAAATGCTGTTCAGAATATATACGTACATACATACATAATTCATATCCCAAATAGTACAAAGTCACGGTCATCCCCGCATTAATCGCATTTAAATATTCCACCCGAATATCATTAGCTTTGCGTAATAAATAATCTACCAAAAAGGAGTTACGTAGTATATTTGATAACTTATTCATTTGTTAGCTTTTAAGCAACAACAATGTGGATTCGAACTGCTAAGCAAGAAATATTTTGTTAGTAAACAAAGCGTTGAATATGCAAACATGTACATATCGTCAACTGAAATGCAAAAAGACGTAACAAACACCATCGTTGAAATGCAAAAAGTCATAACTAATAAAAAATTCAAAATTCACTTTTTGATTCATATGATGGATTTCATCGAATTACAACTCCCCAAATCATTTCATGGATAAAATTAAAATATTAGTCACGAGTTTTTGCATTTCAGGTGACGATAGATATGTACCTGCGTTCGTATGGAATAGTAGCTTATGTCGGGAAGCTGGCTTTAGTATAATGCGGCATTCCATTTATGCTTTAAACGACAAGGAATTTTTTGATGATACTTAATAAGAATATTGACTTGCTTGGATCGGAACTATTTCTTGTACGTTTATTTGCTAAAAGTTCTTTAACGGCTCGGCGCCAGTGAGTCATTCGCAATCGTATGCTGCGAATGCTGCATTATACTAAAGCCAGCCTTTCGACATAAGCTACTATTCCATACAAGCACAGATATGTAATACATGTAATATAATAATATGCATATTATGTATGCAGAAAAGCACAAACAAGCGCACAGAGGAAATAAAAATTAAGTGCGATGCATGCACATTAGGCTGCATCACCAGAAAAAGTTGCGGTTTTTCCGCCGGGATTACAAAATTAATTATATTCTAAGGCGTCCACCAAAATATTTCGGAAACGTATTAAGATTTAAGTGAGCTGGACCGATTTGAAAATACCTCCAAAAATGGAGTTTTATATGAATAAAAAGAGTTTCTTAAAGAACTTTTTGAAAAAAGTCCACTCAGATGACAAAACAAATTAAGCTTAAAAAATCTGCATAAAAATATTTAAAAATATTTTCAACGGAATCGTAAGAATGACATTTTTGATGCTGTTTTTTTTTACTTTTTTTCAAAGATTGATTTACGAAAAACTTGAAAAACTGCTCCGAAACTATTCTGATTTAGACTTATTTTTACTCAAAAAAGTCGTTCGTGTCCCAATTTTTTTTCAAATACCAACACATCTTAATTCAACTTTGAATGACGTTTGTTCATCCTACCATTCTCTTTCATCCTTTGAATGAGTTTATTAGCAAAGAAATAAGAAGGATGAGAAAATACCTTTCCAATGACACCTCTTAGGTCTAAATCGGAAGAGTTTCGGTTCAGTTATTCAAGGTTTTCTTATACCAATCCTTGAAAAAAGTTAAAAACAGCATCAAAAATCTCATCATTACGATTCCGTGCAATTTTATTTTTTTTTAATTTTTTTAAAATATTTTTATGCAAATTTTTTAAGCTTTAACCGTTTTGTCATTTGAGGGGATTTAAAAAAAAAAATCCGTAAGAAACTATTTTTATTCATAAAAAAAACTCCATTTTTAGAGGTATTTTCAAATCGGTCCAGCTCACGTAAATCTTAATATTTGTCCGAAATATTTTGGTGGACGTCTTAAAATATAATAGATTTTATAATTCTAATGGAAAAATAGTACCGATTTTTTTTATGGGGAGTGAGGCAGTCTAATGCACATACTATATACATACGAGTTTATCGTTTGCCTAGCATTGTAGCTTCGCTGCTATAATTATTCGATATGTCCTTAGATAATATAAATATGTATGTGTGTATGTACTTGTTTCCACAGTTTTGTAATATTGTCTTTCGATTTTTAGCAAAATTTTGCACAAACTGACTTCATTACCTTCAGCGATAAACGTACCGTTAGGGCATGGCGGAATTATTGCGCCATGCCGTTAACTTATTTGTTTTCCATGAAGGGGAACTCACACACACAACAACACACACTTTAGGTGTTATTTATAGCATCATCACCACTTTACAATTTAACCGCCTATTATTAGTTTCTAAAAATAAAAACACACATATTTGCAATAGTCATAGCTTAGTGTTATTTTTCCATATTTTATTTCACCATAGTTATTTAAAGTAAACAAAGAAAAAAAGCCTGTCACGCCAGGCATTCGCGTAGTATTCTTACATAGCATTCCATATATATGTATGTATGTTGGTTGGATTGATGCTTGTTGAACCAATTTAAGGACACTTAAAAACAATTTATTATCTACATACGGGTAAATGTATTATGTATGTTTGTATGTATGTATAGTATATGCAATAAATATAAAGCAGCAAAATTGGGTAATAACTGCTAAATGAAGGGGTGTTGATAGTGATGGTAAAGTCAAATTGAGTGGTGTTTAGAGCTTTAAATACATCTGTATGAAATACTTAAATATTTATGCATTAATTATGCATGCACATACATATGTATATCAGTTTGTATAACAAAATAAATTAGAATACGTATTTAAATGTTTGGCAACAATTTCTGTGGGTGGATTACATGTGTACATACATATGTACTTATGTACTTGACTTGTATGTATAATACATAAATACACATCCATATTTAGATTAATTAATGTATGTAAATGCGCCAGGCAAGGTGCCACATACGAGTACCTACATACATATGTATGTAAGTATATATTTTTTAACGCTTACTGCTGTATATTATCAGGTCTTTAATAGGTGTACAAATTTGGATAATTTTTAATTTTTAGCATGCAATTTTTGTTTGTTTTTAACCACTTTTCACTTTATTCCAACCTCGGCCTAATGTGTAGGATGTTCACCTGACAAACAATGCCATTTCTCATGAAAATGATCCGGTAATTTTATGCAATCCAGCCACTGTTGCAAACGTTCACCCTTGCTATTGTAACCAATTACCAAACTGCCCAAAAAGTCATTACTTTTGCCAATGTCCTTATCCCAAACGGTAATAAATAGAGTTTGCTTATTCAAATCATGTGGACTCGATTCGAAAAAGAACTCTTCACGATATATTGGATTGAGTGTGCGCCATTTAACACCGGTTTTGTATTTTTTGTTTTTATGTGAATCAGGTTTTAGTTGTCTAAAAAGAAAGAGGAAGAAAAAACTTCTTAGTTATTCATAACAGAGATTAACTGCAATTAGCGTAGTGTGAATTTAATGTGCACACTTCAAAATAGAGACTAGTGTAGAAAATGTGAAAATTAATTCATTAGCATATTTAGTGGAATTTTTGAAGATATAAGCTTTAAAATTAGCGCCCTGTGACACATTTTGCCCGATGGCAGAAATAATTAAAAATAAGGTGCTAAAATTGATCTTTTAGAAGGTACACATATAGTATATGTATGTATGACAGAAAATAAAACTGTATTAATTGACACCAAATAAAGATCTATAAAGAACCATCTATGGTTTTATTTTCAAGTGGTCAAAATAGCACAGTTCTCTTAAAACAAAGCACTCTAGTTGAAATTCAGGAAATTAAACGAACTCGTTAAAACGACTTCCGCCAAATGGCGCATTAAACATACCTCAAACTGACAAGCGTAATTTCTTCAAATAATCAAACAGTAGTGCTGCTTATTTTGCAAACAGCTTGTGTTAAAGTGTAATAAAGCATTGCTTAAACGTTAAATGAATAAGTAAATAGTTAAAAGCTACATCAAGTGAAACAAAAAAGTGAATAGTACAGACGAATTTAGGCAACTGAAAAAATTTCTCAACAACTCAGCCGCCATTTCGTTACGGCTCTTACTCACAGCTTTACAAACGGATCCGAGCTGCCATTGCTGTCCATTGGTATCAAATTGATGCACTGCTTCACATTTACCACCAATGCCCGCCGCTTGGTATTATAACATAGTGATATAAGAATTTTACCATGTGGCCATTCCTGTGACATTTCAGCCTCATTACTATATTGATCTTCACCGCCCAGCGGCACTGAAATTCGATACTGATTGGTGGTGTGCACCTGCAGAGACAAAAAATAATAACACAAAAAGTTGTTATTCTTATGCTCCTAGTAATTTATTCATTCTCAGCTCACCGCCGCCAGCGCAATTTTAGCGCCTCCCAAGTAGTCATGTCCAAACTTGTCATCATCGAAGATCGCTACATATAATGACGAGCTAACCAGCTCCTCCGGCTCGACACCAACAAATTGTAGTGTCTCATTAAATTCCGGATTGCGCGTTTTATGCACCGTTTTGGTGCGCAACCAACGCGTGTATTTAGTGGTGCCATCGGGCGTTACAATATTCAACTTACAATACGGATCAGTCAATCCAGCCACATCCATGGCGGGCAAGTCGCGCGCTCTTACCATTGTGCAGTCCAGGCTGTGTAAGTTCTCGCGATAGCTAGCCGCTACCTCTAGCCAACCAAGCAACTCCCGACAGTGCAAATTCACTTGATTATGACTATGCACTTGACTGCTTGTGGCTGCTGAGTTGCCCGACGAGCTCTCGCCGCTGATGGACCATGACGAAGAGACTGAGCTGCGACGCGTATAATTACAGTTGCTCTCACGTCTGTTATTCACCGAAGTGACAGTCGAAGCAGTTGATATGGTATCATATTCTGGCTGACTATATTCTGATCTGCCTGCCTGAGGGCGGTTGGTGAAGAAGGAGTTGGAAAGTTTCCGCTCACCACTGTCAATAAAGCTGCGTATAGATCCGAAGGTGCGTAGGCGAAAGCTGTCATCGCGCTGCATGCGCGTCGCCGACGGTGAGACATCAGTATTGGCAGCATTTCTATTGGTTACGCCGGCTATTGTTGATGACGCTGCCGCGCGCACTGTGCCTGTGGCGCCATCAACAACGTCAGAGCCGCCACTACGGATGGCCACATCATTCCCTATGCCATCAACTTCCTCTTCCGAACTACTACTATCGTCTACATGTATTGTCAGCTTCTTTACGCGCACTTTACGCGTGGGTGTACTGTTACAACTTTGTGCACCACGCGGTGGCAGCAGCACATCAGACATGGCGGCGCCACTAGCTGACTGATGTGTGGGCGTTGAATTAGTACTGCTGGGCGCATCATAATTGGGAAGCCCTTTAAAGAACCACGCGCCCGATTTCTTCCACATTTCACGCGTTTCAGAACAGATGCGACACAACCATATTTCGCGCGTACGATCAGTGGTGTGATAGCGTATATTAATGTCGACGCTACACTTGGCACAGACTGACTTCTTGCAATCTTCGCAAATTATGCGTGTAGAACGCAACAGTCCAAAAGTGTCGCCGCAAAGGCGACAACAATTTGGACCGCGCTCGACGGCGCGCTCTTTGATTTTCTCCACACGTTCGACAAGCCGGCCGACGCGTTGACGCTCAGCAATCTCGATCTCCTCATTGCGACGTATAACCGAAATAATGGCGGCCTGTTCGTCAGGTCGTAGAGGTTCATTAGTTTTCGAACTGCTCCAGCCGGCGCGTAATCTGTGAAAGGATGAAAATATTAAAGGTAAGTTTAATGCAATTAAAAAAAATCAGCTTTTTATGAAGCATGTAAAGTAGGTATTAAATAATAATAATTTTGTTCAGGGTACTTCAGGATGCGTAAGTTTTACAGGATGTACAGGAAAAATTGTTTTCGCTATTAATAAACCTTATGGAAGGTGACATACGGGAACAGCTTCCTGTAAAAACCGGAAAATCGTAGAAGTACTTCGAACAGACTTTATTTGTATGCAGAGCTACCAAAATAAAATCCGGGCCCGGTACTAAATACGTTCGGGGCACCAGCTCAACCCACCCCAAAAAATTTTTTGATTAATTTAGCAACCTAGCAAAACAGTATTTTAATCTTCGAACTTAATTTCCAAAAAATCCACTCCCTGAAAACTCCGGACCTTGGCAAAAACATGGCAGGTTAAAATTTTCGGTGCAGTTGTAGAACCGCGAGTCGAAGTTTTGACGTTTTCTCTTTTCATCTCTTTTTTGTACTCTTTCTCTACCTAAAAATGAAAGTTCCATTTGCTCGGCGCTAGCGCCGCATTATTGTGGAATGCTTCATGCAAATTGTTTGGCTTGATGATTTTTGACAGTTCTTTGGCGCTTGACGCTTCAATTTAAGAATGACAGTTAGTCATTAGCGACGCGACACTATAGACCTACTATCAAGAAAGCACAAAAAAGGAACGCCATACCGTAGAAGACTTGCCGGGACAGTGGAGAAGATGAACGGCTGGAATGATTCCAAGTATGAAGGGCTGGGCCAACAAAACGTTATACACCACTTAGCTTTTATTCGACCACGAGTACTTCACGAAATACCCTTACAAAGTAGACAAAATAGAGTATCCAGGATACATCTTCTTATGCGTTGACTGTTGCTAATAAATAAGCATCTATTTAGAAGAAATGCTACGGAGAGAAATGCGGGTGCTGGAAAAAGATGCAAAGAAGGAATTTCTATAATGGGAAATATGGAACACTATGATGAAGTATGGCGAAAGGTATAAAAAGGAGGAAGACGCACAGGGTTTTGACTATGTGGAGGCAGGTGGAAATAATAGTTAACGTGCACCGATTTCTATAAAACTTAAAATATTGTTAGCAATATAATATTATCAAATATGTATGATGGAAACATTAGATTTCATGAGATGAAATTTAGTTTGAGTACTCTCCTCTATTTGAAAACTCTAAACATAAAATATAAATAAGATTGGGTCACTATGACGTCTACAACTCGCAAAATATTTAAATCTGTTGAACTTTTTATTAATTTTTATTTCCTGCTTTCCACTCTCAGAAAAAGAAAGGCTATACTAAAGCATTACACATGTAGGTGTAATTTTGTGAGTGATTTTTCCGTTGTTCGAAAAATTCTTTTCGCAAAAAGAAGTTGAAAGTCGAAAATTACGTATATTTGCAAAGTCGCATGAAAATATCTATGACGTGAAATTTTGTATTTATGGCTTTTAATTTTCCCACTCTAAGCCCAACAGCCACCATGACATTTTTCCAACTGCTTCCATATAACCGAAACACTGCGCGACGTTTCGAAAACAGGTTGTGGGAGGTGTTTTAGTTCACGGCCAAACCACCGCTGTAGCAACAGCTTTGGTGATAAATCATCATTTTAAACACTCACACCCGAAAAAAATTTTCTTTTACCTTAACAGTCCAAAGACACTTTACAACATCCAGTTTAAATTGATTTCAACACACACCCTCACCCAACCTACATGCTTTGTCATTTCTTGGAAACTGTTGTCTGCGCAAACAATGCTGCAGAAGTACTAAGGTTGCCAAAAGTGGCACAGACTACTTGATACTGTCAGAAATAGGAGCAATAAATCTTTTCTACGTCTTTCAAGTTGTATACGCAAAATTTGGTAGCGTGAAGCTGCTGCAATGCATACAAATAATCAAATTTTCACTGTCATGGTATATTATTTGTTCATTCAATCTAACTCAACAAACTACCGTTAAAAAATTTCTAAATCCTACACTCATACATACATATTATCAAATTTCAATTGTCAACCCAAGCGAGTTGCCACGGCCATGACCATCATACATGCCACTTGTCACACCATGCGTAGATACTATTGTGTTTACTCGCATGGTTGCGTATACGTCTAGTGGCGCACATACATACATAAATTCTATAAATTCACTTTAAAGGTTATACGAGTGAGTGACACACAAAATACTGAACCGAAAGAACAAACCAACTTCACAAGTTGCTAGCCAATTGCTTTGCTTATTTGCACACATATGTATGTACATGTATGTATGCATGCAGCTATGTATGTGTCAAGTTCACGGCTACTAGCAAGTGATAGTTAAAATTAATTAAAATTACATACATACATACATGCATACTTTTCTAACAGAATAGACCACATAGAATAGTATGCATACTAGTTAAAGGCAAAGGAACTCCCAAAAGTGTTAATGTACTCTATCGTAAAAAATTCATTGTGCATGGTTATCAATTTTTCCCTCACCGTTGTCATTGAAAATGCGCTACATTTTTAGTTATTTGGTTTTCTTTATTAAAGGAGCCCTTAACCTCCTACTATATTTAACCTCATTGTTATACATTTATTAAACAAGCCTCATGCGTCACGTCAATTACATGACTCAACTAAACCGCAGCTGAGTGATACTAAAAAAAAATTTAAGAAGCAAAATTCTTTAGCAATTTTTTTGTATCTGTTTGCTTTTTGTTTATTTATGCTGTTGTTTGTTATTTTCTCTTTGCTTGTTTATCGCATGAACACGAGATTCTAATACCTACCCGTAAAATCTAAGTGAAAACACGAGTATCTTAGAGTCAGGGCACACTATTTTATTAGAGGACGATGAGGTGAAAGCAGCTCAGTATTTTCTATTAGATTGCCCAGCTTTTGCGAGGCTAACATTTCGGCTCGCTCTTTCTGACTAGATCTGAGGAGCTTTCAGGTAATGAAATTGACCGTATTCATAGTTTCGTAACGGCGTGCAGCGTTTCGCCGACTAAATTATTGGTCCCTGTTCAGTTTTCGTGGTATCACAAAGGACAAGCTCTTATGGCGATTTATTTTCTACTGAAAAATTTTTGCCTTCTCAATGCCCAAGGGGAACATTTTTTTGTAGAAAAGAAAATGCCATTGATTGCCACCATTATATCCTAACTTTACCTAACCAGGGCACGCTATACACCTTTTTTATAGGTGGCTGTGTAGATTAGTCAGCTACGGATTGGTGGTGAGTGCTCGACTCGTGGTCCAACGATTTCTCTCAAAATATTTGTTATTCAATAAGCAATTTTGCTTTTAAATTTCACTTTCGTTTTTTAACCGACTTCAAGAAAAGGAGGAGGTTATCAATTCGTCGGAATATATACGTATAAACATATATATTTTTTATGTATGTTACCGCATAACTTTGGACCACGTTAACCGAATTCTATAATTCTTTTTTTAAAGAAAAAATGCAACCTCAGAGGGGTTACCATACTAGTTTGGTTTCGATCCGATCATTGGATCATGAAGAAATTAACGGTACTCTTAAATTTATATATGAGAGTTGAAGTCGGTTTTGTTTTTTGCTTAAAAATTACTTGTTAACATAGTAGGTTTTTCTTTTATTTTGCTTTAGTTTTCTTGTCTTAATTTTTGGGTAATTTTTTTAATTTTTTAAATTAAAGTGTTGTTTTTTTGTAACTTATTACATTAAGGTGTTTTGACATCGGATTTTTAAGGTAACTCTTTTTGTGAATTACATATGTAAGGTACTCGTATGCTGGTGTTAAATTTAAGTTTTTTTTTTAATTTAAGTCTTTACATTATTTAAGTCAAGTATGTTTTAATTTTTTAAGTATTTTCTTTTGAATTAAAAATTTTTTTGGTAAATGTTTTCTTCCTTGCAGATTTAAGTTTTTTAAGTGATTTTGTTGGGTAAACTTTTTTGGTTAAGTTTAGTTAGCTTAAGTTTCTTAATAATACTTTTGGTGTTTTTTAAGTTTTGTCCTTTATTTTATTTATTGTTAATTTTTTTTTTGACTTTGAAACCCCAGAAGTTAAGCTATTTTGGCCATAACATACATTTTGAAGCTCAGTTTATTAAATACGTTTTTCGAGCTTCGAAATTGAAACGGTTTTACATGAAGTTTTTTTTTCTAAGTTTTAAGTTCTGTTAAATTTCGTCAGTTTGCTTATTTTTCGCGGAAGCTTAAGTTTTAAGGCAGTAAGATTAAGTTTTTAAATACATTTTGTGATTATTTTTTTAAGGTCTCTGTTTTATTTTGTTCTATGTTTTCAATTTACTGCGTTTTTTTTAGTTTTTTTTTAAGATAAGTTTTCAGTTTCTTAAGGAAAGTTTTCTTTAAGTTTCAAGTGAGGTCAAATGATTCAGTTTTAAGTTTATTTTAGGTTTTATTTTTTTATTGATTTCTTTTTATTTAGCTATTTATGGCCTAACAGCAATTGATATTTAAAGATTTATTGGACTTGAGTTCGTTTTTCATTTGAAAATGTTTGTGGAATAAAAAGAATAATTTACAAGGTTAGAAGATATATCCGCTAGTTCAAAGATCACTCATAAAACGGTCTAAAGCTCAATAAAATTTTTAAATATGTTTTCAGTTAAGTTTTTTCTTAGTACAAAGTTTTCCTTTTAGTGAAGCACTTTTGGTTTCTCTAACATGGTTTGACGACTTAACTATCGACCGCTCAAAAGTCTGCAGTGTGTGCTGGCCATTAGAGTCATTACAAACACCAGCCAAAGGCAAAACGAAAAGTCATGTGGTACATATATATGTACATGCATACCTACACACATCCATACATATCTACTTACAAACATTTATATGTTGGTGTGTATTACATGAGTTCAAAAACTTATTTATTTACATACTTGTACTTATGTACATACATGTGTGTGCACTCTTAAAAGGTAAGCACTTATTTGCGTGTGCACCCTCTGAGGTTAATGGC